GAAGTCCTCCCTAGGGTCATCCCGTGGGTTTCAGGAAGTTTCCACTGCACTAGGTTTTCACATTACTCTCTAATTCCAGTATTTTCTCCCCATTCTCCCTGCCTGGTCCCTCCAATTCCTTTACGCACATGCTCCCTGCCCCCCAAAAATATACTTTATTTTCCCTTGCTAGGGAGATCTGTGTGTCTCTGCTAGAGCCCCCTTATTACTTAGCCTTTCTTGAACTGTAGATTGCAGCTTGATTATCATTTACTTAACAACTAATATCTACTTATAAATGATTACATACCATATTTGTGTTTCTCAGTCTGAGATATCTCACTCAGGATGACTTTTTCTACTTTGTGGTTACAGACACACACACACACACACACACACACACACACACACACACTGAAATCTGATATAGGATGTTACTGTTGAAAAAAATAAATTAAAAGTCTCATATCCCAAGGGAGAAGCATGTCCCTATTAGAGACATTTGAAACTTTACTCCATTTCTAAAGGACAGAAGCAAAACAATAGTTTTGTGGCTACAGGGAAGGGTAATACATATTATAAAGGCACTGGATTGCAACAGTAGTCTGAAAATGGGTAAAAACCAAAAATATTGGACCTGGATAGATTGGCCTATCATCTAGTGTCTGAGCATGCTTTGGAAAGAGGTGAACAACAAGTTCTTCTTCACCAACAATCTAAACAAAAGAAGAATGTGTGTTGATTCAGACAAAGAATTATGTATCCTTAAGACTGGATTACTGGAGTCAATGCAGCAAATTTGCTTTACCGAAGTAATGCTCTGAACATTGCAACTTAATAATGTATACTGTCATGAAAGCCATGCAAAAAGGGACTCTATATAATTGGTCAATTTTCCAGTGTCGGTTATAAATTCACTCTCACTGAGTAGACTTAAAGTTCAATTACAAGACTGTTGGATATGCACAATACATAAGCATCACTACTGCAGGCTTATCTTGCTATATGGACATTAATGTGGTCCATAGGCTTTGAGGGTAGTGTGACTGATTGCTCTTCCCCCTCAGCAGCTTGCACAGTGCCTGAAGGTACTGTGAGACCTAGTCCACAAGGATGAGTTTCCATAGTCAGGTCCCGTTCAATGCTGCCAAGGCCTGTGCTGGCCATTTGTGATGTCTTCAGCGATAGGACTTACTTTCAATCTTTTTTGGAGGCATTCATGCAATGAAAAGCTTATATTATTTTGACACCCCTGACCAACAATTAGAGAAAAGGTTTTTAATGCCTATCCTTAAGGTTTTGTTAGATAGTCTAGGGCTACTGTTACTCCAAGAAGTATGACTTAATTTATAGGACAATAGGACATAGTGTATGCATATACAATTTTATATGTATTTTAAATAAATATTTGTGTTGGCTTTATCAAATATTCTTAGTGTTATTTATCTCTCCTTCTTCCCTCTCCTTTTGTATTATCCTCTCTTACTAGTCCCAGTTATTGCATCATTTCCCCCATAATATAACCTGTTTCCTATTATTCCCTCTGTAAAGACTCCCAACCCCCCATTTCCTTTTCATTTTTCTGGTGTCAGCACTGTTCCAGATTTTACACTCATATATTAAGTGGGGCCAGGTGTTGGTGGCACATGCCTTTAATCCAAGCACTCGGGAGGCAGAGGCAGGCATATCTCTGTGAGTTCAAGTTGAGCATGGTCTACAGAGTAAGTTCCAGGATATGTTCCAAAACAATACAGAGAAACCATGTCTTGAAAAAACAAAAACTAAACAAAAACCAAAAAACCAAGAGCTGGGATACATAAATAAGAGAACATGCCAGAATTTGTCTTTCTGTATTTGGGTTACCTTCCTCAGTCAGTATAAAACTTTCTAATTCTAACCACATTTACCTGCAGATTTCATTGTTTGTGGGCTTCCCATGGCATGGGCTTCAAATTAGACCTATCATTGTTTGACCACTCCCTCAATCCCAGAGTCATCAGTTCCCCAGCACATATTGCAGGCAGAATAGGTTATTCTATACCTATACCTATACCTATACCTATACCTATACCTATACCTATACCTATACCTATACCTATACCTAGACCTAGACCTAGACCTAGACCTAGACCTAGACCTAGACCTAGACCTAGACCTAGACCTAGACCTAGGCCTACACTGTCTATATCTGTTTCTATTCTCTCTATTGTTCTCTCTGTGTGTATGTATATAACTTTATTACTAATCATTTTAATATCTGGGAATTATCAGCTGACATACAATATTATGAGACTCTAAATACTTCACATGCAAAGACTAGAACAAGAGCATCTCTCTAGCACTACTCTTCATGGTGCCTTCTAAGTACCTCAGTCTTTGAACAATTACAGTGAAAGTGTTCTGGAGATCTCTTGGCAGTTGACCTGACTCTTTCTAAGAGGCAGGGGCACCAAGCTGTGAGGGGAAGTGCTGGTAATTAGAACCTGCAGGACTGATGCTACAGAGCACTGGAGAGTTGCCTGTCACTGCTCCCTAATTGGGCTGATGAAGCACAGCTGAATGAAACTGGACTCTTAAGGACAGATACTGGTGATGTCCTTTTGCAATGGTTTCATGATTCTGAAGGCTTCCCATGGAATTTGCAAGCAATGAAGGCAAAATACAGATGGTACTAGGGACCTATGCCTTTGGACAGAGCATGCTGGTTTTGTATAAAATAAGCTAATTCTGGGAAAGTTAAACACTTACTCCTTTCCAAGACACCAGAACCATTCCATGAAAACTACAATTAAATTTTGTGACTGTGAAATGGTGAGATAACAAATTGTTATAACCATGTCAAATGTGTATATACACAGTATATTAATAAATATCCATTTTAAGCAGTAAGTCGATAAATATAGACTTCTGACCCTCTTCTTACTTTTTAAAAACTACAATTATGTTCAATTACAGATTTCTATTACGTTTAACTTATGTACAAAAGGAAAGACATTGAAGGTTGGTACTCAGACTAGTACTCTTCTATATTTTAGATACATTTCTTCTTTTTATCTTATAAATAGATCACATCTATGTAATTTGCAATCTTCATGGAAATATACACAAATATATGCATATGTACTTATATTTATGTGCATTATTACCTAGAGTAACCAGGAAAGTGAAAAGAATTCTGTGTGTGTGTGTGTGACAGAGAGAGAGAGACAGAGAGAGAGAGACAGAGAGAGAGAGAGAGAGAGAGAGAGAGAGACAGAGACAGAGAGACAGAGAGACAGAGAGAAAGTAAGACAGAGAGACAGAGAGCCCCTGAGTATGGGACTAGCCAGTTAAAAGTGATGTGAACAGGGACATTTGAAAAATAGGGAGGAGTGTACAGTGTGCTTCTGAATTGGGAGGGTGGTGGTAATATAGGAGAAGAAGGGAAGAGGGATAAATAAAATTAACAATTTTTGAAAAAGCCTTGAGAAAGTATATTATTTCATATTTCCCTAAAATTATATGTGACATATACAATTTTTATATATGTATATATTATCTATGTATCATACACACACATATATGACATTATGGCCCTTGAGATGACAGTGTCCCCTTTCTCCTAAATCCTAAACATTGCAGGCTTTTCCTATTGCCCTTGGTTGAATTTAAAGTCCCTGTCACTGAAGACACCACACACTGCATGTATGAACGGAGTAGCATCTTACTTGAAAGCCTTATCCCTGACAACTAGCTTACATAGGAAAAAAATCAGTCAATAGTTCTGCACAGCTGTGATGACTATAAATTGCAAAAATGACCATCATGGCAAGATATCCCTAAAGGTGGAATTGTGGAACCCATATCTTGACAATAAACCACAGCTCTCTTATTGGAATTTCAACCCTCTCAACAGGAGGGAAATATTTGGTACTAGGAACCTAATCAACTACCCTGGGCTAGTGAGATGATGGATGTTAGAGGAGAACCTTCTACTGCGACTTTTACTAGAGCAACATATTCCTAACTTTCCACATTCCAGTGGCCACTCTAGTCACAGAGACTGGAACAAGGGATGCCTCTTTGTGCTAGTCACTGTTTAAATTTCCGGAAAAAGTACCCCGACTAAGACAAATTATAGAAGAAGCATTTAAATGGGAGCTGACTTACAGCCTCAGAGGGTTAGTTCATTACCAGCATGGCAGGAAGTATAGCAGTAGTTAAGAAGGCAAGCATAGCACTCCAAACAGTAGCCAAGAGCTTACACCCAAGTCAGAGAGTTGAGACAGGGGAGATTCGGTGTGGCATAGCCTTCTGAAACCTCAAAGCCCACCCCCAATACCACGCTTACTCCAACAATGTGACATCTCTTAATCCTTGTCAAACACTTTTACTGTCTGGAAAGCAACATTTAAACACATGAGCCTGTGGTCGCCATTCTCATCCAAACCACACCTTGAACTGAGCCTTTAAAGCATTGTAATTTTATTTTTACCTGTGTATTCAATATTCTCTTGGTGCTACTATCATTTATATATAAATATAGATTGCTTTTAGGCTGACAAGATCTGCCTCACCTTTCCTCTTCTCATTAAGTCTACATCATGGGTCACTCTCATTCTTTCTATTTTCAGGCATATTGGCTTTTTGTTACTATCTTAGGCATTTCAGGAATATTTCACATATTATTCTGTTCTCTCTGTCTCTCATCACTTCTTTTTGGTTTATAACTCACCAATCTGAAATCAGCAACTTTCTATTGAACTGTTATATGGTGCATGGAAGTTTCTGAATATAGTGGTGAATATTTGCATCACATTTGTGTTTATCACTGTTTAAACTCCATGTTTGGAGGGGTATTTTGCCATTGTTGTTTCCTTAATATTAAAATCAGAACAGCATATGTAAGTAGCCATACATGGCATTGCGTAATATCATGACTTCTTTAAAAAGTCTAGGAAATAGAAGGTACCAGATTATCTCTTATCATTCTTCACAATGAGAGATAACAAAATTCTTGGCACTATACATGTTCTGTTTATCCAATGTGGATAACCTGGGAGGTCACTGTCACCAGGGTCTGTCCTAGTGGCATAGGGGAGCATAGTGCCCTGCCCCATGATGTAAAGTCCTTTCCATGATGTTGGAGTTGAAGCTGAGCTTTGAGTCTGTGCCTGCATATTCTATGACTTCATAGAGACTTGTGGATGATAACTGAGGAGACAACCAATACAGGAAACAAAAATCTGAGGTGCTAAGAGTTTCACTGTTCCATTTTTGGGAATCTAATGTTTGTGTTTATTTTTGAAAAACAAAGTGTTCTGTTTATAACAAAAACAGATTTTTCTCAATGGAAAACAAAGTCTTTAAGAAGTATATATATATATATATATATTAATTTCAAAAAAGTTCTCAACAAATTTGTAAGAATTATCAATACTTCTCAAATTGTCTTTCCTAAGTGGTGCAACAAAGAAATGACAATCCTATGAGGGACTTAAGTAACTGGGCACAGCAGGTAGACTCACGCAAGGGTAAGCTATATTGGGCATGCCTGGGGCATGCCTGAAACCTCTAAGTATAAAAGAATTAGAATCATTAAGTCCAGTTAAATCAGTACCTTAAATATTTATCTCCTCTTTACATAGTTCATTACCACTGTCGCAGGAAAGGCTTTTATAGTTTCTCACCAGTAATGTTTCAATTATCATTTTATAATGTCCCTGAATTTAATAATTCCATAACTCATTTTTCATTCATACAGTCATCAATTAATGTGTTACAGTAAGTTTGACTAATTCCCTCTCAGGTTCAGATTCATTTATTTGCCTTAAATCACATCCATCATAATGTCCAGAACTTCTCCACCTCATGAAGTTCTTGCTGTGGTACCTGATTTTTCTGCATTCTCAATGCCATTATTGTATCCTACAGCACTACAGCCCTCAGGAAGAGATCTCAGGACATGTTCTAGCTGCTCAGTTTCCCTCCAGACATGTTTAATCTGCTTTACTCTAGATTTTGCTTTTGAGGCTGAGGCTTACCTATAAGCCTCAGATACCTGACCAGTAACCATGCTGCTCTTTCTTACTTAATAATTTTGTGTGGTGCTCATAACTTCAAGAAATTCACAATTATGTTTTTTAAAGAAAGTATGTTTTCCAACCTTGTTATATATAAGCTATCAACAATAAATAAAAACCACAATTTTAATTATGGTTCTCTTTAAAGATCATTTTAATTTTCTCTTTTTTCCCTTCAACTTATTTTGTATAATTAAATAAATCTGTTATTCCTTTGCTTTGCTTTACTGACTGTTTATCTGCATGTTCTAGGGTTGTAAACCCACATTACAAAGTGAATGCTGGATACAAACTCAAGTCTTGATAAGGAGCATCAGACAACCATTTTTTTATTTAAAAAAATCATACCCAATTTACTAAAAGTCATTTTTACTTAAATCAGAACTGTCCAATGGTTAGCATTGCTAACCATTCATGATCTGAATTTTGGTGTCTGAATTAAATTATGGAACACATTAAAAGTCATGAAACATTTGTTTTGTAATAAATAAGGCAGTGAGATTACTCACTAGTAGTCTCCCTTCTTAATTCCAGCGAAGACCATTTTTGTTCCAGGGATGTACATTTTGGTATTCTCCAAATGCTCCATCAGGGTATCCTCTTCCCAGGTGATGCCTTTGTTCTTGTTGGAATCTGTGTACCAGAATCCAGCAGCCTGACCTGTCTTCCTCCCAAACAGACGGAATTTGGTTCAGTCTTATAGTTGTCTCCCTTTTCCACGGAGACAATAATCTTCTTGCCTTTCTCAACATCACCCATTTTTAGTTTGTTCCCAGGTGATCAACACCACAATGGCTATGACCTGAAGACGGATGTCCCACTGTCTCCAGACAGTCTTAACCCTGGAATAATCTCACTAGTCCCTGTTGTTTCATTTTCGTTTGATGATCCTGATGATGAACTTAAATTTCTAAATTTCATCCTTTTACCTAATCATCTATGTGGCAATATTACAATATTTCATCTTTCCTTTTTATATGGCAGTATGTTTAAGGCCTACATTCACACACTGACTGTGTTACCTCAATCCCATGCCAACTTCTGTCCCTCCCAACTCTTCTTTACTCTGTTAATGAGAAAGAATTTTTCCTCATCTTACAGTCCAGTTTTATCACAGTTTTCAAAATTACTTTTAGGAAACAAATTGGTATATTTGAGTTCTGTGGAATAATTCTTTTGTACACTGTGAAGAGGCTTTGCTCTTACTGGTTTAATAAAGTGCCAACTGGTCAATAGCTAAGAAGAGAGAGAGGTTAGGTAAGAGAGCCAGACAGAGAATACTGGAAAACAGAAGACTGAAAGTCATTTAATAGACACAGATGAAGAAGGAGATGAACATACCATCATAAAAAAAGATGATAACTGCCATGAGGTAAAGCATACATAAGAAATATGAGTTAAACTGAAAGAACTAATTAGTAACAAGCCTAAGCTATTGGCTGTGTGGTTATTTTGGACCAAGCTAATGGGACAGAAAATCCTGCCTACAATTGAGAGCTTTGCTATTATATAATGGAGACTTCCAGTTAATATTTTATTTTGTATTCCTAAAAAAGTATTTATTTAACATTATTAATTTAAATTTTATAATATTCAGCAATTTGAAAAATGTGTCTGAATATTTGTTTGAGTTATATATCCCACACATCTTGTATCTCTTTTTTATATAAATTTTAATTAGAAACAAGGTTGCTTCACATGTCAATTCCAGGTCCCTCTCCCTTTCCCTCCCCTCCTCCCACACCCTCCAACAAACCCCTCCAATATTCCCTCATTTCCCCAGGGAGGGTGGGGCCCTCCATGGGGGTGTCCATAATCTGTCATTTCATTCGGTACAGGGTTTAGATCCTCCCCCCCACCCAGAGTCCAGAGTGAGAGTACATCTCTCATTGTCTGGATGGGTGTCCAAAGTCCATTTGTACAACCGGGATAAATACTGATCTACTACCCAAGGCTCAATAGACTATCTAGGAACCCTCACTGACACCCACATTCAGAGGGTCTTGATCCCAGCCATTAGTCTGGGATTAAAGAGCTAACCCTTGTCAGGTCAGCTGTTTCTCGGGGTTAAACCAGCACAGTCTTAACCATTTTGCTCATGAGTAATCCCACTCTGTCAGTGGATTCCTTGAGTTCAGTTCAGTGTTTAGCTGTGGGAGTCTGCCTCTGCTTCCATCAGGAATTGAATGATGGTTCTGTATCCCATACTCTCTGGCCATGGGAGTACAGGCTGGCACTCCCCAGATCTGTGTCTAAAAACCATATATGAAAGAGTACATGCAATGTTTCTCTTTTTGTGACTGGGTTACCTCACTCAGGAAGGTTTCTTCAAGTGCTATACATTTGCCTGCAAATTTCAGGATTCCATTGTTTTTTTTTCTCCTGAATAGTACTCCATTGTGTAAATATAACACATTTTCTCTATCCACTGTTCAGTTGAGGGGCATCTAGGTTGCTTCCAAGTTATGGCTATTACAAATAGTTCTTCTATGAACATAGTGGAACATACATCCTTGTTGTATGAATGGGCATCTTTTGGATATATGCCTAAGAGAGGAATTGCTGGTTCTTAAGGTAGGTTTATTCCCATTTTTCTGAGGAATCTCCATACTGATTTCCAAAGTGGCTGTACAAGTTGGAACTCCCACCAGCAGTGGATGAGTGTTCCCCTTTCACCACATCTTTTCCAGCATAAATTGCCCTTGGTGTTTTTTGATTTTAGCCATTCTGACAGATGTAAGATGGTATCTCAAAGTTGTTTTGATTTGCATTTCCCAGATGGCTAAGGATATTGAGCACTTTCTCAAGTGCCTCTCAGCCATTTTAGATACCTCTATAGAAAATTCTGTATTTAGTTCTGCAGCCCACTTTTTAATTAGATCCTTTGGTGTTTTGGAGACTTGCGCCTTGAGTTCTTTGTAAATTTTGGAGATCAGCCCTCTGTCAGATGTGGGATTAGTGAATATTATTTCCCATTCTGTGGGCTGCCTTTTTGTCTTGTTGACTGTGTCCTTTGCCTTACAGAAGATTCTCAGTTTGGGAGGTCCCATTTGTTAATTGTTGACCTCACTGTCTGTACTAGTGGTGTTATGTTCAGGAAGCTGTCTCCTGTACCAATTAGTTCAACGGTACCACCCATTTTCTCTTCTAAGAGGTTCAGTGTGGCTGGATTTATGTTGAGGTCTTTGATCCATTTGGACTTGAGTTTTGTGCATGGTGATAGACATGGATCGATCCGCATTCTTCTACAAGCCAGCATCCAGTTATGCCAGCATCATTTGTTGAAGATGCTTTCTTTTTTCCATTGTATATTTTTAGTCTTTGTCAAAGATCAGATGTTCATACATGTATGTGTTAATATCAGGGTGTTCAATTCGATTCCATTGGTCTACCTGTCTACTTTTGTGCCAATACCAAACTGTTTTCAGGACAACAGCTCTATAAAAGACTTGAAGTCAGGGATGGTGATGTCTCCAAATGTTGCTTTGTTAAGTAAGGTTGTTTTGCCTATCCTGGGTCTTTTGTTTTTCAGTTGTTCTTTCAAGGTTTGTGAAGAATTGTGCTGGTATTTTTAATAGGAATTGCATTGAATCTGTAGATTGCTTTTGGCAGGATTGCCATTTTTACTACATTGATCCTATCCAAGAGCATGGGAGATCTTTCCATTTTCTGAGGACTTCTCTAATTCCTTTCTTTAAAGACTTAAAGTTCTTGTGATACAGGTCTTTCACTTGTTTCGTTAGCGTTACCCCAAGGCATTTTATGTTGTTTGTGGCAATTGTAAAGGGTGATGTTTCTCTGATATCTTTCTCAGCCCTTTTATCAACTGTATATAGTAGGGCTACTGATTTTCTTAAGTTGATCTTGTAGCCTGCCACTTTGCTGAATGTGTTAATCAGCTGTAAGAGTTCCCTGGTAGAGTTCTTTGGGTCATTTATGTAAACTATCATATCATCTGCAAATAGTGAAAGTTTGACCTCATCCTTTGATCTTCTTCTGTTGCCATATGTCTCTAGCTAGAACTTCAAGTACAATATTGAAGAGATATATAGAGAGTGGACATCCTTGTCTTGTTCCTGATTTTAGGGGAATTGCATTGTATCCTTTTGGTTCAATGTTGGCTGTTGGTTTGCTGTATATACCTTTTGTTATCTTTAGGTA